TCATCCACAACACTACTTCTTTCTCAAGAGAGAAAAGTTTATGTTTTCATTAAATTTTAGTCTTTTAATTAATATTTTAATGCTTTCTTAGATAAGGTAGAATTAATAATTTGATTAGAATTTTTAATTCTATTTTTTAGTAGAATAAATATGGTGAAAGCCTATATAAAAACTACATTTTAGGTTGTATTCATTCAATTCAGTTCAAGTTAATAAAATTCAAGTTTGCTTTAGCCTTGACTATTGTGAGTGCTCTTTGAGAGGTTGTCTTTAACCATCTTAATTGAGTGAATGATTGATTCTATTTATCAAGGTGGTTTCTTGTGGCGTTTTATTAATCTATTTCTGAGTTGATTATAACTTATCAAGTTAATACTTATGATATTTTAATCAATTCAATTTATCCTAATTATCTTAGTTTGCATTCACAGATTGAATGTGAGTTAAGTAGGGAGAGCTTGTTGAGAGATTAAGTCTTCTGCATATTAAAATTATATATGAGTTTTTTGATCACATTGATTGATCATGAGTTCCACATCAGTAAGTGGTGGTATAAGGTGATGGCTCTATTAATGTACTGTCTCTTTTTTTCTCTTATCTCTCTTTCAATGTAATGTTATCATTGTCATCATCTCATCAATGTTCTTTATGGTATGTTATGTTTTTCATAGTTCTTAAAGATTTAGGTTTAAGGGATTGACCATTTAATTGAGTTAAGAAGATATTTGTTGAAGGTGTTGCACAATTTAAAAATAAGAAATCCATGGTATAATAAAGTAGATATCATTTTCAATCATAGTAAGTCGCTCCATTAGTTACTATTATCTTTTATCAGTGTCCATCCTTTAGTTACAAGCTTAAGGCATTCATCATAAAATATCTTTGATTTTATACTATTTTCACCGTGTAACCAACATTTACGCAAACTATTGAAGGTTAAAGGAATTAGTAATGGTAGGTTATCTAGATCATAGAACTCATCAATTAGGGGCTAACTGACCACTTTTATGGTTAAGAAAAAGAGATCTATATGCATTGTTACAATGTTACAACAAATTTTATGCACTAAGTTTCAAATATGAGGAGTTTGACCATCACTCTAGAGTTTCAAGATAATGAAAATTGTGTTTGGTTTGCTGTCCAAAGGACTATAAAGTTCCCCTAAGGTGGCCAACCAATAGATATGCAATATGAAGTGGAAATGTGAAGACAAGCAAAGACTATTTTTTTTTGAGCCATGATTAAAAGATACATCTAACAAAAGTACAAAGTAGACTTCATAATCTAGTTTAATTTTCTCTAATAGCCATAATCTAACTTCCAACTAATAGATTTCATTATTATTCCTTTTGTTGGCTCTATGATAATAATGATTTTATCTACTTATATATATATATATAATTATCAGACTTTCTAGGTTGATATTGCTTGATGAGAATCAAATTGCTTTTCATATAAAGATGGATAGATATTTAATGCTATAAAAGATTACTCTCATCAACTTATAGAAATGGCAAGCTCAAGAAGTTATCTACATGTTAATTTTTGGAAAATATTGAATTTTAACTGGATGAAATTGTTGAATATAATATTTCAATTTCGCGTATTATTGTAATAACAATAAGTTATAGATATTTAGTATATTTGCTCATTTTTTAGCTTTTTCATCTTGAGCTACCCCCTCTGCTCCCTTTTTCTTTATGTTTGTTAATAACAAAGCATAAACATACATGATAATTATGTATCTCATATGCTACATGGTTCATACTATTATATATGTATCGAAATTGGTATAACCTATAAAAAGTTTTTGTAGGGAATAAGAACCTTCTACAACCATATGTAAAATATGAAAATATGCATAGGTATAATAGAGGTGGTCGAGGGGTTAAAACAAATGAGAGAGTCCACTATGCCACCCCAACTTTTCTCTTAGAATGATGGGAAGATAAATACCATGAGATGTAGATTAGTGGGTGCGAATTATTTTTATTTACTTGTCTCGAATATAAGTCATTATTTGGATCAAAATTTGAACATTGTTATAGTTTTGAAGTAGGTTTTTTGTTCTTTTTCTTTCTTGGCTACAATTGTGGTTAATAAACTACATATACTTTTTTCCAAAAAAAATATATATATATATATTTTTTGGCTAGTTTAAACATAACTTAATTAATATTACTAGTGTTTGTTTCTTAGATTGATTTTCCCTTTTTTTTTTTTTTGGGTTTTGGGAATACTATGAAAATTACTAGTTATAAAGTGTGAGTTGTAGATTTTAGGTTATAAGCAATAATATTTTATAAAAGTAGAATGAATGGTTGTTTTGTATACCAAAAGAGAAAATGAATTGATATAAATGTACTTGGTAATTAAATCTTTATGCATTTGTATATGTAAAGAAATAGTATGAATGACTTAATAATTTATTTATCTATTTAAATATTTAATATTTTAAATTGCATTAAATCAAGTAATTTTGTTAACTCTCCCTTAAAATTAATGGCTAAATTTTCTTCTTTACATGATACACTACGTCAAAAGAAAATGTCACATAACATACCATCTCATCACTGAATTAAATTTTATAGCTCAAAAATTTACATTAGAAAGGTAAAACAAAAGAAACCTAAATACATGCAAAAACGTTAAAAAAATATCCCAAAACCATAAGTTCTATTTCTTCTCCTAATTCAGTCATATATATCTTATAGGGTGCATGTGCGTGTATGTTTTATTAACATTCAATACCTTATACTGAACTGAAATTATATTGCTTAAGTATGAAATTGAAAAAAAAAAAAAAAGAAAAGAAAACTATATATGATCATATATATATATATATTGAGTTTCTTCTTTTTTTTTTTTGTTTTTCTTTCTTGCATTGTAAATGTAAGTCTTTGAAATATAAATTATTATAATTAGCTAAATGACATGACATACTATATTGTAATTTTTAGATGACTTGGCATATCATAGACAAGATAATTTATTTAAGCCAAGCTTAATTACTGATTAACGTAACTACATACTTGATACTCAGATTAAACAAAATTAAATAATTAGTGGTTAATTGGATATTAAGTTTAGACCGTTTTAATTAGATTGTATTAGCCAATCAAGAATTGACATCCACCCAATTCAATACAATGTATACCTGAAGGTTTGTTTCCTCTCCTATTTGGTACCTAACTTGAACACTTTTGTTTGAACACCCACATGGAAATTTAACATCTAGCTTCTCAAACTTAGCTTTAAACGCTATATGATATATTGTTCTATACATCTTTTGGTAGCTAGATAGGATATAGCATGCGTTTGTCTACAGCATACAGATACAAAACTATTCATGTGCATAAGGTGTTTGTTAATTACAATATATATATATATATCTTCATAAAAAAAATTACATATATCTATATATATACTACCAAGTATATATATATATATATATATATACACACACAATAATATAAGGTATAAATTTTGAAGGCTATATAATTATAAAAGCTTTTGGCAACTGTGTATTTGGATTTAAACTAATGACTTACATTGACGAACCAAAAGTGATGAATTATAGATTAAGCTTTAATTGCCTTTTAAGCACATCACTAAACAAATTTCTACCATAACAACCAACAAGATTAGATGGGTGGGCCTGTGACCTTAAATACCAAGTGATCATTTCATACCACTTAGATTAGACCACAACATCTAGGAATTTTATTCCTTGGATCTTTTACAACAACATCCAAAGATAAACTTGCAAAATGATTTGGTACAATACTTACTTGTATAGGTAAGTATCATTCAGGAAATCCTGAATTTCAGACTTGCTATTAATCCGCTACAAAGCAAGGAAATTAACTATTGAATACAACTTGCAGATCTCAGGCATCTAATATGTATGTATATATATATATATATATATATATATATATATATATGTATATATGTACATACATGCACCTAAACACACACATAAAAACTCACATACATACATAGCTAGTTGCTTCTTTTTTTTTTCTCTTTTCTGAAACAAGGTGTGACAATTTGATTATTAGTATATCCTTATACGAAAAGCCTACTCATTTCTAGCTAGTTGATGTCATTGCATTTTTAATTTCTGATATGCATTCCATCAAGAGAAAGACACAAAAATCACAATATATCTTGTGCCATAGATTCATCAAGTAGTACACATAGTTGTCTTTAAAGTATGTAGTACATACAAACATACACACATATACGTACATAAGAAAATATCTCTTCAAGTTAATTAGTGAGTAAGAGTTTGGTCTTAATTTTAATCTTAATGTGTGTGGAGAAGTTGTTTCATCATTAACTTAAATATGTTTTCTAATTTCTGTATTGTCAGAAAAAAACTAAAAAAAAAGTTATTTATATTGTTATATATGTTTAAAAGAAAAAATTATTAAGTAAGAACTAATGCTCTGGTTGGCAGCCAAATTATCGGTGACAATTCTTCAAAAATGATGTAATACAGGGTTAGTATAATATATTTGCCATGTTAAGCATGAACACGAGAAGGTTCATAAATCCATCAATATAAAAAAAAAATCCCTCTTCAAATATCTTCTGTTAATTACATAGCATATTGTATACAATTAATTTCCACATATCCTTATTAACAACTGCATATTACTCATCCTTAGATCCTTATGATGGTCCAGAAATATTTTGTATACAGTTCATTAATTAACCATTCCAATCAATAATGAAATAACTATAACAGCGTATTATTCAGCTAATAATTAATATCACCAATCTACCACGGTTTAATAGAGCAAGCACAAGGTAAAGCCATTCATTCATCAAGAACAATACCAAATAGTTTCTAGTTCTGCAAACAGAAATGGGAAGGAGATGGAAGCTAATAAGTTCAGTCATGTTGAACAACCCTAAGCCAAGCCGCATGAAGAATGTCAAACATAAGAGTAATTATATATGGTCCCAAATCACGAAAGAGTTAACAGATCTACTAAATATGATTGGTTCATTTCAAACTTTTATTAAAAATTCTTATAAACAAAATTTAAAATATACCAGTGATATTTATTGAGTATATCAACTTATCTATGTTCTTAAGAAGCACAATAGTTTTCCAAAGCACATGCAAATATCCAAAATAGCAAGTCAATTGATACATAACAATAAGCCATAATTAAACCTCCATGTACAGGCACTGCTATTTCTTAGTTCCCATTTGAAGGTGGCGACGAGCATTCGCAAACAACCTCAGTCTCCACTTCTCTTCTATGGAAGTTCCTGTGGCAGCCACAAGCAGCACATGTAAGTGCTGCACTTGTTCCTTCCTCTCCACTAGCCATAAACTCCCTGCAGCCATCGACAGCGTACCCTCCAACTCCTGCAGCGTGATTCTTTTGGCACTCTGCATATCTCACACTCCTCACCGTCAAAGGAGTTCTTGAAGGCTCCTCTCTTCTCACAACTACCTGTCGTTTCCTCATGCTCGACCCTTCAAAATTTTTCTTCTCTGAAGCTTCCTTTTTTTCTAGAAAAAAATGATTCTTTTATTTTTTTCAATCTGAGTTCAGAAAGCCAAAAGCAAAAGCTGGGAAGAAGCAAAGAAAATTTGGAGAACGCAGAGAGGTAAACGAGAGCAAGGAGAGGGATGAAGTTAGATCATTAAAAAACCCTAACCCTAAATGGCATATTTATAGAGAAAGTCTTGATTATATAATATGCTTAGTTTCTCTATATAAAGCATAAGTAAACATTTAAAATTTAATTTAATATATACTTTTGAGTGGCTAATAAGCCTAGCTGAAAAGGTTGATGTATATACAAAATGATTGTCCAACTGCCTTAACAACTCATAGTTTAAAATTAAAATAAGGAGATTAAGTAAGGAAATAATAAGATCCCCGAAATGATGAGAAAACTTTCCTTTTCACCAAACACAGTGGTTGGTTTAAAATGGAATGAACAGCTAAGCCTTACTTTTTTATTTTTCAAAGAAAAACAAAAGACCTAATTATGGAGTGTTTGTGGCCCTAAACAGATACTAAAAGGCAGATTGTGGGGTGCTTTGATACGATACCAACATCAATTGTCTAGCTTATTAGCTTCGCCTAAAAACGTGAATTTCATAACTAAGCTTCCTAACTTTGTACGGACTACCCAGTGTTACCCCTTCAATTTTTCTTGGTTCCATGTATATTCTAATTCAAGGCACTCACTAGTCACTTACATTTTCTGCATAGACATAGTCCCCTCCTTTTCTTTTGTTGAGTTTAAAGTTTGAGGAAACATTTTAGGCTTCTAGCTTAATTTGGATTCACTCTCCATCATACTATACTATTATAGATATATATATCATGTGTGTGATTGTCATCATCCCCTTGTAATTGATTAATTTGTCTTTAAAATGCACTAGTTACCTCTGTTGATTAATCATTTTCTTTTGGTCTTAAACAGACCGAATTTGACTTTACTAGCTAATTAGTGTGTCTTATTGCACAACCCTTATGTAGCTCTCTATTGCTTTAGTTTGCACAACCTAAAGCATGATGTACGTGCATCAATATTATGAAGAAGTGTTTCTAAAAGAAGAAGACATCAAAAAACTTTGAGATATTCAAATACTTAAGAAGAAACAAAGCTATTCAATATTTGATTTATTAATTTCTTTCTCATGTCTGCAGTCTTATTGGAAGTGATAATAGTTCAACATGTAGTTCTTTTTCGTCGAAACATGTATTTTTTAAAAAAATTTTAATTACTCAATATAAAAATATTACAAAAATAATAACTTATACTAATAATTAAAAATTATTGTTATAAAGTTATTTTCTGTTAATATAATTTTTAAATAACTGTATAAATTATTTTATTTTTTATCGAATTTATAAATAAAAAAAAATACTAATAATTGTACTTACTGTTGGAATAGATTTCATTATATATTTCAACCACAGGTGACTATTGTTAT